AAACATGCGATGACAAAAATGAAAACCAGCGAAGAAATGGCTAGAGTTGCCAAGTTCCCCTTTAAATTGGGGTTCCTTTATAGAGAAAATATATTTTTTTTTTTATAATGACCATTCATCTCGGAGCTGTTGGGCTGATATCGGTCCCCCCATGCAGAAAGTGGGATAGAGGCCTAAACCTCAGTCAGACCTGTGAGTCCAGAGTGTACATTCAGTACTAATGGTTAAATTGGATTGAATGTGCTTCACCTACATTTACTTACCTATATTAACTGTAAGGTTCCTCAAACTGAGGGACTGTGTAGTTTCAGTTGGGTGACTCATGTTCAGTTTTCTCAGAGCCACTCTGTGTGTTTCTAAGAATCTGCATGGGCCCTCATTTCATTGTATTCTAACACAAAGGTGTGGTGTTAGCATCAGTAGCACAGCTGCCAGCAGTCACATTCACATCTTTAACACCCCAATTCCCACTGGCTGTAGTTGTTGAATGCATCAACAATAACTACAGTGTATTTCTGTGCGAAACACTGATTGAATAGCAAATGTCAGGAGTGTAATGGTGTATAATTGTTTTTAGGCAATAAAGGCCATAAACAAGTTCCCACGGTGATTTTAGATCAGACAGCCTGTTTTAAAATCATAATAAACCATTGCTGTTTAATATTTAAGGCTTTTGTTTAAAATGATAATAGGATGCAAAAACTGCCGAAAGCTTATTTAGCCTAACCTATAGGTCGAATTCTCCTGGAGCATGAATACATTATGTAAATATCTATCATACAGTTCTTGTTACTACATAATTCAGTCTTGTTTGAGATGAATGAAATGCTAGTAGAGGATGTGGGCAGAAAATAGTGTCAGGTGGCCAAAGGTGAACTTCACTCAGCAAAAGGACTCATTAATGGTTAGAAGACTTTGGTCAGTGCTGCTGAAATTCACCAGCTCTCTAGCACCTTTATTTGACAGCTTCATGAAAACGGTCCTAACCCCTGGGGAAATACACACTGTAGTGTACCAGAGTGTGTTCTGCTAGTAAGAATGTGAGCAAACAGCAACAGGATTCAGGCAAAATAAACAGTTTCTTTCTAAATATAGTGTGACATTAACAAGGACTTAAAAACAGCAGCTTGTTATCAAAGTATCCATGTCCCAGCTCAAAGATGACACACACACACACACACACACACGCACACACATCATATCTGTAAGGTAAGTCGAGAGGTTAAAGTATGTCATCTTGATTTGAATGTCTCTTTTTAGGAGGTTTCAAATTAATTTTCAGCTGCACAATATGCTTGAACTAAGCTGAAAGGCTTTTGCATTTTTTTCTGTGGTATGCTGTGATAAAGTACCTGACCTAACTAACTCAAAACCTCAATTACAGATGTACTGTACATACACTAGGACAGAACAGGATAAGGATGGGTATGTTATAAATATTTTTTGATTCACACTGAAAAGAAAACTTAACTAAACAGCCACTAGACCACTTACCGACGATGTCATGCCACAGCTCTGCCTTTTTGATTCTGAAACATGACAGAGATAAGCAGCATGAGTGAAACTGTTGGTAAATGAACGTTTCTTCCTTTGTTAATATTTGATCACTCACAGACAATGAGGTCAGTTACTGAAACTGGATCCAATGGGAATACTATGATTAATGTAGCTAGCTTGTTCTCTGCTTATGTGGTGACTCAGTGGTGCAAGTAAATAATTCTTCAGGCAAGGCCATACTGCTTTTGTATTGCATTTCAGGCCCAATTTCAACTGCAGCCATGTTGAGACTGAGCAACAGAGGTGAAGTGAATGTGTTGTTATTGTCAAGTATTTTAATATTGACTCCACTGAATGATACATACAACTCAACAGCTGACAAAAAGGAGGATAAGTTCAATCTTTAATAACTTTGTTCAGTTATATTCAGTTCCACACAGCCTTTGTTTGCCCTTTTATCAGGGCTTTACAGTGAGGTAGTAGTATGCCAGGAGGCTGGTAGCACCACTCCTCCACACACACAGCCACTTGGCTGATGCTGCAGTATAAGAAACGGCTAAATGTCTGCTTAGGGCTACTGTCAGGTAGGAGATGTGTGTAGGTGTTTGTTCACCAAAAGTAAATATGAGGCCACTAAAGCCTAAATTACATTGATTGTCTGTCGTATTTAATTGGCCCTTTTTGGTTGCAGGCTCTGGGCTGGTTGGTTTGGATAAGATCAGTGGTAGTGTGTGTGGAGAAGGCAAATGAGAGCGTTTTTAAAGGGGAACTTCAAAGATTTTACACATCAGAGTCTGTTTACAGGTCTTGGGGAGTTTTTCTGCATATGTGAAAAAAAGTTGTATAAAGCCTTTTTGTGGCTCCTGAGGGAGCTGAGTGAAATCTGATACATTGCCTGAAGTGATGTTGCTTGAGGCAACGTCAGTTGGGGCTACAAGTTTTGAAATGACAAAAAAAATCTGGGGTGTGGGGTTTACCAGGCAAATACATTAGCCACTACTAGCATAACACACCCAAATCTGTTAGTGACAGAGTTGCATTGTGGGTAATGTAGGCACCAGGCCTTGACAAGAAAGAAGAAACTAAATGATTTCTCTGGTTCTACTGAATCAGTCAATTTTTTTTAACTGTCCATCACAAGTTTGATGCCGTTATGGGCGTGCAATGCTAAGTGGGTGGAGTATTCTTTAAAGCTCTACCCCAGAGCTGACTGTTTGGCCACTGATAGGTTGTGCTGTGTGTCACTGTGAAACTATAACACTGCACCAGGTACAGCTCTATACACTGTGGAACCACAAATGCATTGTAAAACTAAGTTAAATGGAAAACAAGATAGCACAGAAGCTGGTCTACATGTACATATATAAATGTTTGGGCTGCAGTTGTTACTGTACGTGCATCCATATTTTTTAAACTGATACAAAATAGGTCTATAGTCAACTAGAAAGAACATTTGGGGTTACTGAATTATCGCTGCTGTTGCTTCTGCCCTTCAGTGAGGGCAGGACCTGACTGACTTGTTGTTAAAAAGGGCCAGTGTTTAAATACCATAGTAGCAGATCTGCTTGAAGGTGACCTGCTATTTGTTTCTTAAACCACACCTCGTAGCAGTTTTAACTTGTTTCGTACTTGTCAAACTAGTTAGACCACTTGCGTAGAAGTACTCTGTAGCAACCAACTGCAGAATCATCTCTCACTCTGTATTTTTATCAGCAATCTTGAGGTGACCAAACCTGAAGCCTGATTTGGAGAGACTGTCTTCTCAAACATCAACCTGTTTGCATGTTTTTTTCAGGGCTGAAAGACAGGCCGCTCTACTTCCCGTTTAATAATGACTTAGCACACTGAGCTGGTATTTTAAAAAAAAACAAACACTACACATGGTTCAAAAAGGGTATAGTATTTCTTTCTAGGAGTGAAGAATGGGATATGATGAAGAGCGTGTAATGGTTTTATTAGGCTGTGATCAGGGTGACTGAGACCCTGTAGCACTTGCTGACCCCATCTCTAATGATTCCCCTCATTCTGGCCCATGATTGCTGTTAGAGATTCCAATTAGAAAGCATGTGTGGAAGCCAGAGCCGTGTAAGAATAGGCCTTAATTGCTGTGAGTTATCATCTAGACTCATGTAATTGAGCCCCCATCTTAAGGGGCAGCACATCTGACAAATTGATTTAATACCAAAGTGATTCTCCATCCCTAATGGCACTCAGGCTTCTTCACTCATGGGCTACAGGCACTGAATTCATTGTGTGTTGATTACTAACCGGCCTGAAACCTTTCTTTCAGTCCGCCCACTTAAGAGAGCTGAAAAACAGACACGCATACAGTATCAACAGACACACACAGCCTAAAGCATTGTGCCCATAATCTCTACATGGCATCCCTCAGTTATTATGCAATCTCTGAGTGCATGTGTGTATACATGAAGGTATTAGCTCTGTCACATTTACTTTAACAGGTTTTGCCAGTTTTGCAAATGTGCAGTATGCATTCTGCCTGTTTGAACTTGTCATTCTTTGAGAGTAGTTCAAGGCACTGCACATTGCATGTTCTTTTCAATATTGTGTCAGACAGATATTCAGAAGCAAACATTTTCTTGTTTGTTTTATGCTCTCTTGCAAATAATCTGTTCCTTGAGTACAGATTTCCACATTTCTGTCTTCCTCAATTACAGTGAGCCTGTAAATAGCAAGAGGTCAAAGATGTTTCCCTACTAAAAATTTTGTGTAGATGTGGATCAAATTCTCAGTACGATGGACAGTGATGCATTTATCATTTCTTTAATGGGAGTCGTGTGTTCAAGTTGTCGTTTCTCTAATTCCAGTGATAGAAAATCTCATGTCTGTCGCATTCCAAAGTTCTATATAAATACTCAGTCAGATCTGATTATAAAGAAGACAACTACATGTGGCTGACGTCATTTAACAATCAATTAAACAAATCTCTTTTACATATAACCAAACAAGTCCTTTGGAGATTTCCAACTAACTACCCTGTATTATTCTCCTTATTCTACATGGACTGAGGAGAAAATGTGTTTTGTTCAGTCAAAAAATGTTGTATGTAAAATGTATTTTAAGGTGTTTGCTACTGTAATTGATCTTAGATGTAACACACTGCAGGAATACACGTCTGCCATTGTTCACAGTGTAATTAAAGTGAATGTTATCTTATACAGAACATGGTATTCTTGCTGTATGTTTGATGACTATGTTTTGCCTTTTCTGCATCAGGGCCATAATGGCCGTCATGAGCGGATCGACTTCCTCAACAGCAAAGAGAAGGCACCATCAAAGCGGAAGACCGGCATTGTGATAGGGGCTCTAGTGGCGTTTCTCATCGTCGCAGCTGTTGCAGCGTTCCTCATTTGGCTGTTTGTCTGTGAGTATAGTTGAAAGCTTTCCTCTACTATATCATCCATGGTAGAGGCTTAAAGTGTGGTACTATGGTTTTATATGTTTGGGTAAATTAAAGCTAAAGAAAGTAGATGCTGAGATGTTGGACATTCTCTGGACATTTTTGTACATAAATCAAAGTTGCTCTTGATACAATTTAATGAGAAATTGTGGGTATTTACATTCTAAACATCAGTTACAGCCACAACGGGCATAACATCAGAAAGTGGATAATTTCCACTTGATGTTAAGGCACAACTCTTTGATATAAGAGTGTAAGAGTGGCTTGTTTGGACTTTGTAATTTCCCATTAGTGTTAGCCTATTTGACAGCTCCAACTTTCCCCTTTTAATAATGCAAAGGAGAAAAATGTCACGGAGCCCATGGCACAGCTTCCTTGTCATTTACACATACATCTGATAAAAAGGCCTCTGAAGTCTTGATAAACAGCCTCTTGATTCAACTGGCTGTTTTAATTGCTCTGAGAGCAAAACTGTCTTCTCAGGATTAGATCACACTGTACAACTTTAAAATAGTGCTTCAAGGCCTGTTTAAAACCCAAGCCTCCTCTTTCATCAAAGGCAGCCTATCTTATAGCATTTTGTTGATCAAACACTCTCATCTGCCTCTCTCCTTCAAGTTAAAGATGCTGATTCAAAAGCCACCCTTAGTAAGCAGCTCAAGCCATCAACACGGGTCTTCAGCGGGCATATGAAGTTGGCTGGTTCATCTTATGACCAGAATCTGGAGGATACCACAAGCAATGAATTTAAGGATTTGTCAGACAACCTGGAGGCAATTGTGAGTTTCACATCCTAAGAAAATGAAATGATTTTTCTAGTTTTGTTCTTTTTCTATGATCTCTCTTTCTATCATTATTGTGAACTATTTTGAGCAGAGTATTATGTTCAGTTCCCTCCTCTCACTGAGGATTAGTTGTGGATGTTGTTTTGCATCGTGGAAATGCTTCTTTTTTTTAAAATGCCCCTCCCAATACACAGTAACTGCTGAAGGCACAATTGCGGGGGCGGAATAAAATGCTGTACATTCCCTTAGTAATTCCCTCAACAGCATCTCCTATTATTGGAGTCAGTGGAGATGTTTGTAGTACCACTTAGCAGCGTGTTGATAGCAAAAAAAACCTCGCTCAAACCCCATCAAGCCGACACTTTCTCATGAAAAGCTACAGAAGAGAGGGTGTTAGGCAAGGATTACAGTGGAAGTGGTTGACTGGAATATTAGATGACTAGCTGATTTTGGGGGGGGGGGGCTTTATAATGTACTAGGTTTGCAGTTGCATACAACAAAAAAGACTGCTTTTGAGGAAAAGATCTAGGTTCCTGTTTACACGCCAGATAAAACTGAATATTTTATGTCCGCCATGTCTCCTAGATGGGTTTAGTACAGTGGTGGTTCTCGTGCCCCCCTTCAGATGCACAAGTTCACGCCCCAC